GCTTTGCAAACACACAGGGCAAGTTCTAGGTATCATATGCAAGCATAGGATGCAAGTAACAACTCACACACACTTAGCCTGTAACTCATTCCGAATCAGTTCATCAACACAATCATACGAGTGTTCAAGCAAGACAAGATGTGCAAAATTAAGGCATATATTATGAGTCCACAAACAAGCTTAGACGTCACACTCTCAAGTTCTTTTTAGTTTTTTTTTTTTGCAAGTGTGCACATTTGGGGTTACATTCTGACCTTCACCCATCTAATCCTAAAACTACAAAAAGAAAAATCTACCTAACCCGGTTCAAGAAAAAAAACCTTGGAAAAGAACCGTGGTCAAAAGAAAAACCAAGGGAGAATTACTACACTACCTAAAAAAAAATAAAAATAAAGAAACTACATGGACTACTTCCGTCAATAGTACTGTCCAAGTGGTCCGTCCTCAGGAAGAGTCCTCTACATTTTTTTTTATTTTTTTTAGATTCGACTATGACCCTCAAGAGACCTGTCGACAAGTGTCCGTCGTTGGGCCAAGTCCGTTACTTCTAATGTGAGTACAGTCAATTATACACAACAACATCAATCTAATATTACAACATACTCAATGTCTATATACACTACAATACACTACCAGAGGAAGTCTCCCACCCCACACTTAAAATTATGGCATGTCCCCATGTCATATCAAAATAAGAGGGTAAACGAAACTCCTTGGTAGGCCAAAGGCCGAAGCACTAGCAGCTCATGGGGTACTCAGGCTTTTCCCAAGCTTGGTCCTTACCTCACACTTAGTTCCAACCATTTGGTTTGCTGTTGCATCCTTCCACTACCTTTGCTTTCCATGCTCCTAGAAGAAAAAAAAATTGGCACACTTTTCTCGCCACTTGGATGATATGAACTGGGCACCTAGCTTGGAATCAAGCTTGTGACCTCGAGCGATCGGGGGTGGTACGTTGATGATCGAGCCAAGCTTTAAGTACTTCATTTTGCACTTCTTGGCTTTCATGTGAGGAATGTCATTTTGCCTCCTTGTTCCCTCAAATTGTAAGATGAATGTTTGTTGCCTTTCCTCCTTGCAATCCCTCATTGAGTCGTGTAGATCAATTCCCATATCACCACACAAGTCCAATGTTGAAAAATGCTTGAAATGCGACTTCAAACCTTCATTTTGCAATTTTTCTCGGATTTTGACATCCTCTTTTTCCCTCGGGTTAGAGTCAATCTCAACCAAATTTTTATTTACACCGGTTGACTCTAATCCTATTTTTTTCTCGGCACCATTAACACTCATGGAGTCGGTTGGCGGATGTTCAATTCTTGAATCCTCAAAGTAACGCTCACTTTCTTCCTCGAAATTGGATTCTTCTTGGTTTTGATCAAGTGCCAAGGAAAGATTTTCGGCTTCCACATCTAAGGAAAGTTCTTGGCTCTCATTAACTTTCGAGGCTTTTTGGACCTCTAAAGCTTCAAGCATTTCTCCCATTTGTGAGTGACACCTTTCAAGTGCCAAGTCATTTCGGAGACTATTTTCCAAAAGCTCCTCCAAGGCACTTTGTTCGTTGTTTCCTCCTTCAAGTAAACATTCCAACATGAGCTTGAACTCTCCATTTCGGCCATGCTCAACTTCTTCAACTCCCATGGCCCTATAATTTTCATCACAAAAAGTAGAATCATCATAGTGGGGGCTTAGGGAAGGGAAGGACAAATAAGCACAAACATCCCAATGACCATTTTGAAAACCACACTTATCACAAATACTCCACTCATGGGTTTGAGATTGTGAGCACGATCCACCCCTGGGAAAACTTAAACAATTTTGCCACGAGTGTGGTCCTCCACAATAAGGACAAGGGTCATCAAAGTATGAACAACTACCATCCGACCAATTTTTATTATATGATGCCATTTTTCAAAACTAAGAAAATAAACACGAATAACAATAAAAATAGACCAAGGTAAGAAAAATTAATTACACAAATATTCACAAGTTGGGTATAGAGAAAACTGACCACACTAAGAATTTTTGTATTTCTATCAATGGTTATTGATAATTCCGTTAACTTCCCGGCAACGGCGCCAAAATTTGATCACGCCCAACTATGCCTTATAAAAAGGACTCTGCAGACGTTGCAAATATAACCCGAGTATTACGCCCAGGGTCGAATCCACAGAGATTTAACCTATCAACCGCTATCTTCAGACCCACTAAGTCTTCAGAACCAGCTTCTCAAATATTCAAATTCTCAGTTGAGTGTTCTTTAATAACTAACTTGCAAGTAACTAAATGGCTGTAACTAAATTAAAAGGGATGTAAACAATTATGAGAAAAAGCTAAGGCAATGATTTCCCCTATTGATGGAATCCCTTTTGTTTATGCTCATACAAATTTACCAACACATCTCTATCAATCATGAACGCTCATCTTACCGTAAATCTCTCCCGAGTAATCACAGTAATATACTAATTGCACTCTCCCGAGCTACACTAGCGTACTTTATTTAGCACAATTCACTTTAGATTGCACCCAAGGCTTCGTTATTCCTAATCCCGCCTTTAAACCCGCAATTATAGATTCCTCTAATAATCTAGGAGTGGTGTTGTTCAACAATACCCTAAATATGCACTCTTTTCCAAGTTATGTACACTAAATAGGCACAGCTAATTGAGGATCCTGTCAATTAACTACAACGAATACGAAGTTGAACAAATAAAGATTAAACTCGCAATTTGTATTCACATAAACAAGAAATTCATCACCCAATAGGTTTCATCAAAGCCTTAGACAAGGAATTTAGCTACTCATAGATATGGGAGAATAAACTAAGCTTGAATTCATCATAAAATCAAAAGAAAAGAAGAAAGATGTTTAGAGTATTTTCTCACAATGGTTTTCCTTGCTAAGAAACCTAAAAAATCAATACATGCCTCTCTTAGGTGAAGTCTAATGTTTTAAATAGGGTTTAGGTCTAAAAATCCCGTAATTGACACTTTGGTCCCTGAAGTTTCTGCGCCTACCGCGGTTCTGCCGCGGTCGCGGTAGAACCGCGGCCAAACACCCTCGCGGAATCACTGAGGTTCTGCAGCTGCTTCCCACTGCGGTTCTGCCGCGGTCGCGGTGGAACCGCGGTGGACCCAGTGCTCTGAATCTTCGGCCTGTTTTGCGTGGTTCACTTGGGAAATTTCACAGTTGGCCTCTTTTTCATCACTTTTAACTCCAAAACTGCTCCTTAGCCTTCCTTATACATATTTCACCTACAAATCATGAAAAGCACTAATAAGAGCATTTTGTTATCACTTTTAGCATTAAAACTACACAAGAAGGTGATTATTTAAGGTGTGATTATAGTCAAATTCACCTATTATCAGTTTTCGTCAACCAGTTCTTCAATTATATTGGTGTTAATGTGTTTGACAGTAAATATCAAGAAGGTTAAAATCACATATTGAGAATTTTTCCGCGTAAACGAAAGACAAAAATATAATTAATAGTTGATATGACTATAAGAAAAAGAATATAGAAAAAATCTTGTCTATACCGGCATAAACCCGCAATCCGCCTCTCGCCTCATCATTATTTAAAAGAAAGGCTTTAATCCGCCCGTACTCGCACCCGCCCCGCACAGTTTTAAACCAACACCGTCCTGCATAGCTTAAACTTGGCCCGGCCAGGCCCATAGGGCCCACCTCGTTTGCCATCCCTAATCCCAGTATGGGGAATCTGCACTGAGTCACATGCCTAAGCCACAAAAAACAGAAGTATCATACTGGATCTTGGAGATTTCTTGGTAATTAAAAAAATAAAATAATGAAAAAGTAGGACAGAAAACGAAGGAGCATAAAATGGTCGTGTGCTGTTGATTTTTTCTGCATACACGTGGATGTACATACCTCGTCCATTTTTATAAACTATCAAATCTCTCAATTTGTACATAATTGAACAATTTGTGCAGCATCATGTTATGAAATAGTCTATGAAGAGTTAAAAGCCAAGAGAATGTATAAAGCTATATGTTAAAATGTGTCTGGTTCAGAATAGGTAGGATATAGAATATTATGTACTTATTTCTGAAAAATAATCGCTTACCTTAATTACCATGCATAGGGAACAATTATTTACAATAAAGTAGCCTAAGACTCCTATTAGAGGAGCTCCTCTAGTACATTGTCATTAAAGGCAAGTGCTCCATCTTCTTTATTTACACAGTTCAATGCAAGAAAGATAATTTTCCTGCGGATGTTTACACAAATATGATTTCTCTACCTTTCAGGATAGGGGTAAGGTATGCGTACACACTACCCTCCCCAGACGTTTAGGATGTCACTGGGTTGTTGTTGTTGTTAATGCAAGAAAGATAATTCCCAGTCCATTTTCCTGACTTGAAATCCCCTATTACGTTGCATGCACTGATATCTCATATATTACATATGATATTAAGATATCAGCATTATAACATTGCATCAACATATTTCATCTACGATGTTAAGGTTGTTTTCAATCTTATGCTGTTATATATGTGCATTCTAAAATGTGCATCCAAGCCTTTATCGACTTATGAAAATGTTTGCTGATCTTGTGGCTTATGAAACAAACTAAGAGCAACTTTCAATGCATTGCTTTCCGCAACTAGGGTGTTATGCAAGCTTCAAACTATGCTCATCTCAAATGGCGAAAAGTGTTGAGGTTTTAAGCTAAATTAGGCTTAAAAGAGGGTGAATGGGAAATGGAGGGAAAATTAAATATTTGAGTTTCACATGAGATTCCCTCCTTGACAATGGGACATTGTCCCATATTGGAAGAGGAAAAGATTTTTGATGGGTATATATACAGTTGCTCTTCTTGTAACTCTTAAAGAGTTAAGAAGAAGGCAAGCCTCGCGCCGTCGTCGTCTTGCTACCGAACTTTGCTTCAAATTAGCTACCGAACTCACCAATGTGTAATTCGTTCTATCCTGGGAAATTCCTTAAGGAAACACTGTGAATTTAGTAGGCTCGGATTAACTTCTGTTTCGTTTATGTTATTTTATTTTCTCCAGAATTATTTTACAAATACAGTATACTAACAAAAAGCACGTGATAAAATCATCAAAATAAAAATAATAGATTAACTACATCAGCATTGCACAATGTGCAGAGCATCGTCACCTCCCACTTCCTCCTCAGCAACTCCATCCCTTTTGCGGCAATGCATGTAAAAATCAAAAGTAAGAGACTCCTCCAATTTTAAAACAAGACTTTCTAGTCAAAGAAGCCCACTTGATTATCTAATCTCCCTGCTTCTAGTTGACCTTTATTGACAGCGTTAGCAGCTCTTATGGAACTTCTTGAAGCTGACGAGTGACGACAGAGAAGAACGTGCATCATTTTTCCCAGGAAGATCTCTTGCCGACAATCCATGATTTGAGTTGGTGTTATGCATTCATCCAGAATCAAATTTATACATAATGCCTGGATCTGCAGGATTGATTGCAGTACTCTGAACATAGAGAACAAAAACAAGCAATACCTGCAATATGACATAAGGATCAAGCAACCTCAGATAAATTTACAAAATAACACTCCCTCTGTTCCATGATTTTAACCACTATCTGGCGAGACATGGAGATTAAGAAGCTATTTTGATTTACAATATGGTAGTAACAGAATGACTTTTTTTTTTTTTTTTTCAAATTTATTTTTTTCATTTTTAATGTCTGTTTCATTGTAGAAACATCATATCACGATTCATTTGAATTTGACCAAATAGTCAAATATTTTGGGAATGTCCAAAAACCGAGAGCTTGTCACATAGATTAGGACAATTAGCATGCAAAGATAATGAATGAAGATCTAGAGACACATAATAGAATCAGAGAAGGTTCTCCCCTGTCATCCCAGCAATGTCCAACTATAGTATTTAGGCAAGTGATGAAGATCCAGAGACACATAATTGAAGTTCAGAAAAATGACCAACTAGACGATACTTTCCAAAAAGCCTTTCAAGACCAAATGATCAAGATTCTGTTTGTCTTTTTTCTAAACTGAAAGCTAAAGAAAACAGATGCAAGAGATGCATATATAGCAGATACGTATAAAGTTACTCGTATCACATACCACTTGTGAATAAACTACGATCGAAGCATACTCTCAAATGCGTCCTCCGAGGAAAGGGGGGAAGAAAGCATAAATGCGACTACTAACAAGCAAAATTCAGTTATAGCAACAACCTGAAAAACCAAGAGCTCAACATTTAGGCCACATATTGCATAGGCACAACTGAAGTATTTTACACAACTAAGCCAAATTCAAATGGCCATTCCCATTACATTCTGATAGCAAATCATTGAACATTTACAATGGTTGCAAAAGAAAGAAAAGCTGAGTTTTGTAAACTAAATTACAGAGCAATGTCAGGATTATATGGTGAAGAACTAATTTTCCATTGTCACAAGTTTCCTGAATGTCAGAAACAAGAGTAAAAGAGTGCAAGAAATTTATATAGAAACCAAAAAACAAGATATCCCAGTCGGGAAAGCGAAAATTGCTGAGCAGAAAGCTAAAAACATGTGTGCAACACGCCACAATACTCTTCCTATCCAGTTTTCTAACTCGTATAAAGAATTCAAAAGTAACACCAACAAAGGGAAATCAAGGAAAACATAACAAATATTGTATTTAAACAGCATATATACCTCAATCATGCTTGAGGGCATCAATGAAATGCAATTACAATTCATAGCAGTAAAGATTCAAACCGAAATACTACCAACTGATTTCGAGAACAGACAGGTGAAAGGCACAATGATTCCTCATCTAGGACGCATATCATCATCTAATTATTTTCTTGCAGATTTCGTTCATAGTAAATAACACCAAAACCGTTAGCCCTGCTGCAATTTCACATAAAAATGACTGAATTCAACATTTAAGACTTAAAATATCCATTTTGATGTTCCTCGAGGTTAAAGCAAGAATCTTTTTCTGGCTCTATTGATAGAAAATTTAATTCAAAAATGAATTTTTTGAAAACACTACACGTACACACACCAAATATAAAAAGAAACAAGAAACTCAAGCACCACATGCTCTGCCTCGTGCAAAAAAATCTATACTCCTAAAGGAACCAACCCCGAACAGGCTGCAAATATCAGTACCCAAAATGAAAACAATCAATAAACATAAATCTCAACTGCAAATCGTAGAGTGCCTAATTTGAACACTACCAACTCATTTTGCGAACAGAGAGGAGAACGAATCTAGATTAAAATTGCTTAGTCTCTTAATTCTTGGACAATATTTAGCAGTTGGCTGTGAACATTCCGATTAAATCAGGCATACATTCTTGGGTATCTCTATTGAGATGCCAATATACAATGGGTATCCCCAAATGAAAATCCCAATCTTCCTGATGGGCCTTTGAAAAGTATGATTCTTCTCTAATTTTTCTCCACGCCGATAATGATGTTGGGATATACTATTAACCATGCAGTTTAGACATACTATTATAATTTATTCTTTATGGAACAATTATTTATTTAATTTATTCAATTCAATAAAGTACTATTTTAAATAGATCATTTGTTACATGTGTGTTCTTTTAGTTATGTAGTAGACAATTTGTGTATGGAGTCTTAGCTCATGCACACAAGATTAAATTGTTGGTTCTCATAATTAATAAACTATGTTCACAATCAAAGATATTGTCGGACAAAATATCTTGATAATTGTAGCACAAGATTATCGTATAATTTGTCTTGATTATGGGAGTAATTTTACTCCAACTTCTTGTGCTAGTATACTTAGTGTATATTGAACGGACCAAGTAGAGAAAAAATATTTTTGTACTGAATATATAAAACATTTTCTCTAATTCATTAAATGAGCTTATACTCCTAATCTTGATATAATTATTATGATCAATGTAATTTGTTTGTTGTTTTGATTTATCAAAAGGTACGACTCTATTTAGATTTAGTGTATGCCTAATAGATTGGACAATAACGAATAACATTTGTGAATAATAATTAGTTGATAGAATCCATGACTCGGTTTTGGGTTTGATGATACCCCTTTATGTAAGCTTATAAGTTTTCATGTGAAAACCTGGCCGGTGGATTTTGTATCCGTCACATGAAATAGTTTAAGCGGAATTATAAAGGATTTAATTAGTTAATTGAATTAAATTTTCAGTGATTTAATTTAATTAACTGGTATTTGAAATCTTAACATGGGAGTTAAAATAAGTGTTAATGAATTTTTGAAATTCATATTGAGGAGTTCAATTGCAGTTTTTAGTGGAATAAATTACAATTAATTATAGTAAGAATTAATTCATGCTAATTTCGAATTAATACTATAATTAGTAGCCTCTTATTATTTCTGTGGTCCCTACTATAACTAGTAAAAATCTGGACAGACTTAGGTAAAAAAGTAGCTTGGGAGAAAAGTTATCCTTTTGAGTTAGAGTAGGATTCTACTTGCAGAATCCTACACGTTTTTGTGTCCCTATTGTGGCTTAATTTCGGGTCTATTAAAGGAAGACTGGTTTCACCTAATAGCTTACCTTTTAGTTGTATTGTTCTTGCCCACCCAAAAGCAAAATCGTCCAAGGTTTTACTAGGCAAATAGCAGAAGACTGCAACCCTGGATTCTTGCTGTTTGGAAGATTTGTGCAACTACTTCAAGAGGTTAGTGCTTCTAATCTCGTTATTATTGCGTTGTCTAGTTTTACATGTATTTGATGCCTGAATTGTATGCTTGCTTCCGCTGCGCATGTTCTAACAAATGAGCACCTCTAATACAGTAAAAAAGCAATAATAAAACAACTGAACAAAACATGAAATTTTGAATTAAGTCTAAGATAATTTGTTTGTTCTCACAAACTTGTAATTTGATAAAGTTTAAGCCTAAACAAGCAGATAAAATCCAAAAAGTAAATAAAATATGAACTCTATAGTCAGCGCAGTGCCTCTCAAGCTTATCCCTGTGCAACCTCGTCTCAACAACCCTCGGCGTCTCAAGCTTGAGCATCCCGGCTTAGGCATTGGCACCTCAGGCTCAACAAGCGATGGTATCATGGGTCAGGCTCTCTAACGTAAGCATCTGGAGTCTCAGGCTCACGAGCATCTGGGTCTCAAAGCATCTGGCGTCTCAGTCTCATGATGGTGCTACCGTGTTGCTGTGACAGTATGAACCAGATGAGAAAGACTTTTCTTTTTTTTTCTATAGTGTAGTTATCTTACAAATATTGTATTAATATTTATGTTGGTTTCTTTTCTTTGTTCTTTATGTATTAATATCTATGTTGGTTTCTTTTCTACTTTTGTAAGGTTTGTTTTTATTTTTTTCTACAAACTTCAATATTGTCTAAGCGAAAGTAAGATAAAAATTTCAAAACTAAAAATATTTTCGGGGCCACAAAATTTAGGGGCCAAAAGCAAAGGCTTTACTAGCATCCCCTTGTGCCGCCCTTGTTGGTATTTTAATTTTAATTATTCCCTTCGCCCTTAGTTGGTAAAATTTTTTTTGAATTTTACTAGCTTTGTGTTCAATATATTTAGGAATAAAAAAATATTTTTTTAAATTCATGTATTCTCTTTTTATTATTTAAAAAGTATAGTAAATCATAAATTCACATTTTATTTGCGTGGTAAAAGATTTAAAATTCATTGTTGAATTTTTATTAACTAGTTCAAGTTAACATTTATTTAGGAGATGTTAATTATTCTTTACGATAATAGTTGTAAATTTAAAACTTTTTAATAATTATATGTAGTATTTTTAAAGGCGGGAGCGTGAGACTGCACGTTTTACTTAACATGGGTCGAGGTGTTAGCCCAAGACATGGGACATATGCCGGATGGATCTTTAAATTTTTATTTATAAATTAATAATAGCATAATAACCATAAAAATATATGAAGTACATTAAAAGTTTAAGAAAATTAAAAAAGATTAAAACTCACAAAAAATAAAATATTTAATATTTTTTAATGCATATAAACAATGCAATAGGTCAAAGTTACTATGATGACCCGATAGGTCATCTCATATTTTGAAACTCAATTTTGTGATCCGAAGTCTTAAAACTCATGTTTAGGCCTTCCTCGATTTGCCTGCGCAGTCCGGGCGTCTTTCCAGAAAGCTTTTATGTTAAAAACTGTTAAAAATAAGAAATTTTGCCTAAAAACTTCGTTTGAGGTGACTTCGGTCAACATTTTTGGTAAACTGACCCGGATTCATATTTTAACGGTCCCGATGGATCCATATCGTGACTAATAAAAATACACGACACGGGAAACATAAAGATAAAGTAATACACTAAACACGTATATGTCAATATTTAGTCCCTGCCGTCCATTATTCTCTGCTCCTACCACTTAAATTGTTCTTCCAGCTTATTTTTTTCTTCTTCTACCTCTTTCAGTTTTGCTTTCAACTCCGCAACCTCTCTTTTATAATCTCTTTCACGTTCCCACTGTTTTAAACACAAATTATGAAGATGCTGCAAAGATTCTTTGCAGCATTCCTGATAACAGGGTTCATCAACCCATACCTCAAAATCGCAAATAGGTTCGTCGGGAACCTTATAAAACTTGTTCACACAGTGCCAGTAACGGCGTCCAACTTCACCACTATCCCAACATTTTTGCATCATGCATTTTTTTCCACACTCGCACCTTGGTACATAACGAGGTTGAGACATTTGTGCGTTAAAAAAATCTTGCTTTTCTTGAAGTATTTGCTATTAGTTATTGTTGAGCGCAGAAAATAACTAGAATGAGCCGTTATTTATAGGCAAGACAACACACATAATGTAGTATTTAACCGCGCTATATATACACATAACGTAGTATTTAACCGCGCTATTCTTTGCTTGTTAAAGGTTCTGATGGGTACGAAACAACTTTATGTCAGTTGGGCAGCTTTTTCAGTTCGACAAGACAACACACATAACGTAGTATTTAACCGTGTTATATATACACATAACGTAGTATTTAACCGCATTATGCTTTGCGTGTTAAAGGTTCTGATGGGTACGAAATAGCTTTATGTCAGTTGGGCAGCTTTTTCAGTTCGACAAGACAACACACATAACATAGTATTTACCCGCGCTATATATACACATAATGTAGTATTTAACCGCGCTATGCTTTGCGTGTTAAAGGTTCTGACGGGTACGAAACAACTTTATGTCAGTTGGGCAGTTTTTTCAGTTCGACAAGACAACACACATATGTAAAATAACAAACATAATTAACATTAAATTAATTAGCTTTATGAAATTTCAATGTTGTTTCCAGTTCTTCCGAATATATAATTTTTTTAATTATCATTAAAAAACTGAAATGGAAAAGTTAAAATCATAATTAACAAACATAATTTTATTTTATAAATCTTGCAACATAAACAAAACAACTAAATATTACAACATAAACTCATTGATAGTTAGGCACACTAGAAGAACACCCACCACGAGCTTGATTACTATTGCCACCCAAACCAGCCGAAGGACATTTTCGACGGTCGTGTCCTGTTTGCGAACATATACCACATCTGCACGCATAAACGGTATCACTAACATCCATTTGGTTTCGTATACGCATTCTCTTCTGCACCTGTATTCGACGCAAATAGGACTTGTTACACACCATTTTAAATGGTTCAGGCGGCCAATAATGCTCAGCACCCACTGGCTGCAACTGCCCACTATATGTGTTTAGGTACTTGGCAACACTATATTGTTGATCAACATAGTTAGTTATACCTAAAACTTTTTGAAAGCACTTGATGGCATGTGAGCAAGGCATGTGGTAAATGGACCATTTCCCACAAGAGCATAACCTTGTAGATTCATTTACAGTATGTACATTATTCCCCCGATTTTGATGGATAGCGGTGTGAACTTCAAAAACATTCTTTCGTTATCATACTGCAAAAATGAATGCCAATGTGCTCGCCGTATGTATTTCTCAAATCTCTTCATCGGCACTGGCATAAACTCAACACCCCTTTCCATCAATGACGTTGCAGCTACAGACCTTTCAACAAACCTCTCCGCCATCTGCTTGAACGACATCCGCACCATGGTTGTGACAGGCAATCCTCTTGCCGACTTCAATAACCCGTTGAAAGACTCTGACACATTTGTAGTCAGAGTTCCCCATCGTCTGCCACCATCCGCATGCAAAGTCC